ACTCAACTGAATTACGATGCTGACATAAAACAATATAGTTCATAATCATTTAGAAGATGATTTTCTTCTTTGTTTTTTTCAAATAAGCTCAAGAATGATAAAAAATGAACAGATTTTGATGAAAAAAAATTATTTATATTTACAATATTTGAATTGGTTGGTGAAAATGCACAAACAAAAACATTCTACGTTAGTCCCATGAAAATGAAACAACAACAACAAAAAAAACTTCCAACTTTCCTAAAAGGGAACTTTCTGTATCGTGTGATTGGAGTGTGTGGAATTATAAACTCCATAGAGGGAAACAAAATTAAACATGACCACAGAAAACAGAAGGGCAATTCCACCAAATACTAAGTATAAGTACACATCTGATTTTGATGAAAGTAATGAAAAATACAAAATTCTCTTTATTCTGACATTTCGCAAATACCAAACAAATGTTAACATTACACTGAACAAAAAATATAAACGCAACACTTTTGATTTTGCTCCCATTTTTCATGAGCTGAACTCAAACATCTGAAACTTTTTCTACTTACACCAATGACTCTCAAATATTGTTCTGAAATATGTCTACATGTGTGTTAGTGAGCACTTTTCCTTTAATCCATCCCACCTCACAGGTGTGGCATATCAAGGGGCTGATTAGACGGCATGAATAATGTACAGGTGTGGCTTAGACTGCCCACAATAAAAGGCCACCCTGAAATGTGCAGTTTGATCAAACAGCACAATGCCACAGATGCTGCAGCCTTTGAAGAAGCATGCAATTGGTATGCTGACTGCAGGAATGTCTACCAGAGCTGAATGTTCATGTCTCATGAGCCATCTCCAAGGCTGTTTCAGATAATTGGGCAGTACATCCAACCGGCCTCACAACCGCATACCACGTGTGACCACACCAGCCCAGGACCTTCACATCCAGCATGTTCATCTCCAGGATTGGCTGGAGACCAGCCACCTGGACAGCTGCAGCAACAATCAGTAGCAAGCTCATCTGCATGCTCGTCATCCTCATCAGGGTTTGGACCTGACCACAGCCCGTCGTCGTAGCCGACTTGAGTGGGCTAACACGAACATTCGATGGCGTTTGGCATTTTGAAGAGGCATTCAGTTCACAGATGAGTCCCAGTTTTTACTGTTTACTGTGGCGTCGTGTTGGTGAGCGGTTTGGTGGCGGGGTACTGGTATGGGCTGGTGTATGTAAGGGATAATGAACACAGGTGCATTTTATTGATGGCATTTTCAATGCACAAGAGGTACCGTGACGAGACCCTGAGGCCCATTGTTGTGCCATTCATCCATGGCCGTCATCTCGCACGGCCTCTTATTGAAAGGATCTTTACTCAATTCCTGGAAGTTGAAAACATCCCAGTTCTTGCATAGCCAGCGTACTCACCAGACATTTGTCTTTCACAAGAGATAATCTTTCTTACTGAACCTTTTGCAGATTCTGCAGGGATTCTTCTAGGCAAGCTGCACAGAAGAAAATTAGCCTTTGGCATGTGTTTCCATGGAAACACCCTGGAGGTATAAAAGGTTGATTCCTGCCCATTAGTGTAAAGAAAAACAATGTTTTCCACACTTTGAATTAAGCTAATCACATAGTGAAGGAGCCATGGTTCAAACCAACATGCTGCATGTGATGTTGGTGCTGGAGATTTGTGTCTATGTTTACCGGATACGAGGACCGCTGACGACAGTTTGTTGAAAGAAAAGGTCAGCACACCCAGAATATGTGTGCAACAGGAAGAGTGTGTCATTGCTTACAGTCCAGTCAGAGCTCATTAATTTTGCAAAAGCAAAATTGATCTGAAGCAGCTCAGGAAGACGGCAAAACCAAAAGTTAATGAGATGCTTTGGTCTCTGAGAGGATGCTCAAAATATCAGAGTCGATGTGAGAACGCAGAGGCAATCTCTGGGTTTGGAAGCAAGGTCCAGTCATGCGTCTCTAACTGCATTTCAGCTGTTTGCTTCCAAAATCCTAAAATACTTCATCCAATGTTGAGAGAAGAAACAACAGGAGACATTTATTCCAGAGTCTAGCTTTCAAATGACTCATTCTACATTTGAAGTATTTATTTTTCACAAGCCTATTATTATTTTAAATCGTTCAATCAAAGAAACTATAGTTGCATATGAAATATTAAGTTTGGTACCTGACACTGAACCTTGTGGGACTCCACCGTTAAAACTTTAATTCTGATTCATTTTAAAGCTTTAAACCAGTTTTCTGTAACTATAATTATTTAACCAAATGAGATGGATCAAAATAGGAAGATATTAAAGTATTCTGGTTTGAGTAGCCGGTCAGACATACCAGAACATTCAGACCATTCCCTAATTATACCCGTTAGCTCTCCAGAGACACTGATGTAAACCTGCCTGACCCAGAGCATTTCTAGGATTTCATAAAAGTCAAAAACATATACCTGACATGAGCTTCGCTCATCTAAATGTAACAAAAGTAATTTATGATAACAAGTAAGCAAAAGGCCATGAACTGGGAGGCGGGGCTAATGCCCATCAATAGGATGGTACAGTAGTCTAGGGATGATGTTATGAAATCATGGATTACTGCCACCACCAGAGTATGAGAAAAGACTGATTTAGACGACACAGGTGGAAAAGCTAAGACAGAACAATCCCATTGATTTGTGTATCAAATGTCAGGGTGGCATCCCACTTTTACTCCCAGGTTACTGTATTTTCACGACTATAGGGCGGTTACATAGGGGTGATATAGGGCGCAGCTTCAGTTACGGGTGTCTTTTTGGTATTTAACACATACAAAAGGTGCACCGGGTTATAGGGCGCGAGCACGGTAAAATGTACCGGTAAAACATCTGTGCGGGCTCAGGACTCGGAACATATCAGTGCAAACCAGACATTGTGAAAATTATAAACAGCCAAAAGCATGCTTCACTTTACTGTTCTAGTCCTGGTTCAGACCTGGTTTAGAGCGCACGTGCACTTCCTCATTGCGTGCGCTGACGGCTCGTGCTCTTCTGATGCGCTGTGTTGAAGTTCAGAATGTGTTTACCGGTAGTTGGTGGATTTAACCACATAAACTTTCCACATGAACAAAATCATATGTGTGTTATTAATAGGCCTAAGAAAATAGTGTGATTTGAATTGTGTTTTATTAAAAAAGGCAGCGGGAACAAATATGAGTTCGGTTGTGCTTTATTTGAGTGCTATTAATTAATCATCAAATCCATCAAAGTCCTCATCTTCTGTATCTGATAAGAACAACTGGGCTAGAGAAGAGTCGGACACGCCAGGTTCTCTCTCGTCGCAGTCAGAGTCTGTCTCATTGCCGTCCGTCTCCTCGTGAATGATGCCGGCTTTTGCAAAAGCCCGAATGACAGTACAAGTAGACACATTAGCCCAAGCACTTACAATCCATTCACAAATTGCGGCGTAACTCACCCGGCGTCACCACGCCCCTTGTCTTCTACTACGTTCGCGTCTCACAACAACACAATAGGCGCACCGCACCACAGGACGCGGCGTACATTTTGGAGAAAATTTAAGACTTTTAGGTGCGCCTCATGGTCGTGAAAATACGGTAGTGACCAGGGTTTGAGACGTCTTGGAGAGGTCTACGAGAGCTAAGCTGTGCACCTCTGGTCACAGACCAAAAACAATAAACTCAGTTTTAACAAACCAATAATGCTTAGGATAACATTCATACCATTGGGTGGAGGCCAGATGGAGATGAAGTCAAGTGATATGTTGGAACAGGGCGTCAGGTAAAGGAAGGGGTTGCAGCAGACTGGTCTGTTATGTTTACAGACGTGAAGGTGCAATCCTTAACATTTTCAAGGAGATATGGGGGAAGGTACAATTGGTACCAGGGTGACACGAGAACTGGGCAGTGAGGAACCGCTGGATGAGTTGGGGGGACAAAACCCTTGGTCCAGTTCATGCTGCAGTGCTTGTGATGTAATGCTTTCTATGTCAGGGCTGCTATGGAGCAACTTAGAGGGGGACTGGAGCCGGGGTCATGTTGGTACCTTCAGCGGGGGAGGACTAACGGGTTTATTCCAGTTCATGCATTAATGTGTAATCACTGTGTTCATTTGTTTTAAACATAAGTCCTGATTTCCTGTTTGGTTTTAGGCTAAATTCACAGATTAGACAGACAGAGCTGAAAAAACACTAAATGTGTTGCGTCGAAGCGGACAGACGCCTCTCCACATGAATGGGTCCCTTAAAAATGCATTAATGAGTCCGGTTTCAGTATTTACACAGAGAGGAGAAAGAAACGAGGCACAAGCTCAGCTCCCACATTAGCTGACAAACACCTTTGGGACCACCAGGGCTCCAATGCTGTCAATACATGTACGTCATGAAGTCAGAGCTTGTGCTCCCTAGGGCCATTACTCTCTGGGCTGTGGGACGTGCAGCCTGCAGCACTTCTGGTAGACTTTGTTTGTTCGTGTGAGCGTGTTTGTGTGTGAGAACAGCAGAGAGAGAGAGAGAGAAAGAAGCCGGGCTGAGTGTTACAGCCAGGAGAAAATGGAGAAGAGAGAAAAAGAACTGTTATCCAATCAGAAAGGAAGCTGGTTGATTTGGTGAGTCACAGCTGTTAGCTCAGGCTGATGGGTCTACAAATGCACTTTATCATTCCTCTGGGATGTTACTTGTCTGAAATGTCCTCATAAACATGTTTAATATCAGAGTAGAACATAATATGTGATCTGTTCTAAAACATTGTTAAATATATAGGAGGTGATGTGAAACTGCTCTGATGCTAATTGTTTATTTTTAAACAAAAATGTTCTTTTTCATAACAATAAGTGTTCTCTAAATGTTGGATTTACTCGTTATTTCCTCATCAGCAGCAGAAACGACAACGCTGTCCTCTACTGGTGAGTTCATCCAAAAAAAGAGACCCTGTTCCATTTGAAAGTGCATTTATTCTCTAGGGTGTGTTTATCAAAATGGAAAACACACACACACACACACATGCACGCGCGCACACGCGTACGTAGTGTTTGAACACTTTATTGTCCATCAGTCATGAAGCCACACAGACAGACAACCTTTCAAGTGGGTTCCAGGTTTGTTTCAGTTCTTTGGACCGGCTCGGCTCGGTCAGACTGGGTCAAGTTCAGCAGAAGAGGAAAACACAATAAAAGGCTCCAAAAGCCAGTCTCTGGTTCACTCTCCTGCAGGATGAGTCATCCGCCCAGGCAGAGGCGGGGGCTCCAGCAGGGAGACGCCGGGTAAATTCACTGCAGAGGCAAACCAAAAACTGCAAACATGTTTCTCCTTTACAGATTAATCACAAGACTTTAGCTATTTAAAACAAAAACACTGTGTCATCGTTCTGTTTCATCAGGGTGTGAATAAAAACTCCATGATTATATTCAACCCACATTGTGAGTTTAGTTGTTTTATGGGATGTCAGATATATAATAATACTAAAGACAGCAGCTTTGTTTGGTCACATTTACCTCATAACAACAAGAATAAGGTGTGACATGTTTAGCCAGTTTCACCTCATTTGGCTAGTAAACCTTCATTATATCTCCCTTTTAAACATAAATCCAAACACTGTTGTGATCAAATGTATTTAGAATGGAGTCTAAATTGGTTCATTTAAATAACAAAATTGACTGAAATCTAAACATATAATTGTACAAAATGCTGTAAAATACTATCAGTCAAAAGATGCGTATCTATCTCAGAGCTGCTGAACAGATCCATGTTCCGGACTGGATTTGCTGAAGGATTCCAATTCAAAGACATTGGGAGGTGCATTTAGAGGTGATTTTATATATTTAAATTATTTTCTGGGTATTTTTGATTCTAACTTGATTTTAACTTTACCATCAGCCCCAATAGAGGTGGAGTTAAAATGTGTTGTTGGCTGAAGAATCGTCAAATGTCTCCATAAGTCTTGTGCCAAGTCCTACCCTTTCCAACCCTCAGAGCTAACGTTTGCTTGCAGCTGTAACAACACATCTGACTGTCTCCGTCTTTGGTTCTCCCACGGACCTCCAGATGTTTCTCTTCTTCAGATTGCAGTTGATATACAGATGTGAGAGTTTAGAAGTTCAGCCAGAATCGTCTCCGCTATGATCTGGCTGTGCGCTCTCCTCGTGCGCCTCCACTACGCCGGCGTCAGCCTCCTCCTCTATGGTGAGGCGCGTGTCGGCCGAGGAGCACAGCGAGCTGACACTGCTCTGCTCCGCGCACAGCACACACGCCAGTGGAGACGGCAGCGAGCTGTCAAACTGCATGTGTCCAAAGTGGTTGCCGTGGTTACCGCAGAACGGGAGGGACACCTGTACCGCGCGCAGCCCCGAGACGGCGGCTGGAAACGAGAAGCTACGCTTCCTGGGCAGCACGCCCCACTCCCGCCGCTCTTCTTCGTGCACCAGGCGCGTGAAGATGTTGATTCTCCTCTTCTCTCTCCTTTTGGAGCGGAAGTAGCCCAGCATTATTCCACAGAGAAACACTCCGTAGAAAGACATGACTATCAGGATGTAGAGGTATGCGTTCCCTTCGCTTCGCCCCACTTGGGACTCGGCGGCGCTGTGCGCGCGAAGGAAGAGGAGTTTAGAAGACGCCGTGGAGTTCTCCAAGTGCTCCATTTTTTAAAAGTAGAGTGCATAGAGAATCCTGGTTAAAGCACATAGAAACACAGCAATTAGTATATTTATGGTATAAAAAAATAGAGTTGTGGGTCAGTTTTAGGCAAACTTTACGCACAGAAGTTTCTTCTAGTGAGTCGTTGTACTTCCGTGTTTAAATACAATAAAACACATATTTAGTCAAACCTATCTTCAAACTGTGCTTTTTCATTAACATTTGAAGATAAGATTAAATTAAACCTTCATTCGCTAAAGCACACACGTTTGTGCACATCTACCAAAGGTGGGCTCTTAAACAGAAACAGCTGTAACGCAGGACTACTGTCCAGTTCCGAAAGTTTATTTAATTAACTTTAAGCAAAAACAACGAAACCACTTTTCCAACTCACCAAACAGGAGTTGTGTCCGTCTCGCGCTCACGTGCACCACTTGTTGAGTCTGGCAGAACTTTTACACCATTTATAGACCATGGAGTGTCATCATGACCCACGTGACAGGCTCTGGTTGTAAGACGAGCGCTGTGTGTATGGAAATCTTAAAAGAATGTCGTGTTATAAAAAATGAACATTTTTCTTTACACCTCATGGGGATTCTCGTGAAAACACAGAATTCAATGTAACTTACTGAAGAACAGAATCAGGTCTCCAGGGTGATCCAGAGGGAACGTCATGGAAAACGGCTTCATCGGGAGCCCCCGCTTTAAAACTAAAGTGAGTTTTAACTAAACTCCCGCCACAGTGTCGTCAAATGGACACATTTATCTTTGTAAGTGATCCTGTACGCTTTTCAAACATCTAACAATTCTATAGCTGCACGACAAAGACCCCATGTTCACATGAAGAGCTGTGTGTTGGTGTCAAATCATCCCACAAACGATCAAATTATTGTAAACAACAACAACAACAACAACAATAATAATAATAATAGTAAATGTTTAGAAATAATTTTTTGCAGGACTGATGCGCTAATAGCTGTCTGAGTTGCCTTCATCATAATCATCATCATCATCATCAGTTTTATTTATATAGCACCTTAACAAACCAAGGGATGCCCAAAGTTCTGAACACATTATAACATTTACAAAAATACAACAGCTGTTAAACATAGTCACCCAAAACTCAATGAACCACTAAAACAATAAAAGACTAAAGGCTGCAAGTGTTTTGTTGCTTCAGAAGTGTTTGAACATGTGTGTTAATCCAGAGCTGTCTCTCTGGATTAAGACACAGACTGGCCCACAACTGATTAAGCTCAGCCCCCTCTCGGAACGGCTAACAGGAGCTGATCGGTCTACCAGTGTGCGAGGAGGCTCATAAAAACACAACAAATCTGAAATATATGATGGAGCCCCTCAGTGCAATGTTTGAAAAAGTTTTTTTTAAATTGGTTTTATACAAACCCACGAGCCAGCACAGTGTAGCCAAAACCAGGGTGATGTGGTCTCTCCTCTTGTTTTCTGTTAGGAATCTGCTGCAGAGTTCTGGACCATCCGCAGTCTAGAGACGGGGGCCTGGTTTATTCCTACAAGCAAGGAATTAATATTTTCCAGATGTGAAGTTACAAACGCATGGGTGACAGTTGCCAGATGAGCCCTCAATAGAACAGACCTAAACTTAGAGATGCGCCTCAGGTGAAAAAAACAAACAAACAAACAAACAAAAACAAAAAAAACAAGAGCTGACAGTGCAGTTGATGTGTTTGTCAAGTGTGAGACCATCATCCTCTTTTGCTTCTATATTTGACATCTGTCCTTCCTCGGGCCAATTATGTCATCTCAGAAGTGTCACATCTCACATTTGGGCTGAAGAGACTGACACCAGTTTTGTCATTGTTCTTGTTCATTGATTTTGTCATTGGTCAAGACCAAGCCCCCACAATGCGGCTCAGAAAGTGGTCTCAACCCGGACGTACCAAAAATTGCAGTTCCACCCTCATCCACTGGGGGCTGGTGTCAGGAGCGAGCAAATCCTCATTGACTCCCATGTTAAAAATACCAATTTCACAGCAGAAATAAACATGTTTACAGCCTGGTACCAAAACATGTTTTTGGTTTAAATGATCTAGTTAACACTCATGACAACTCTGAGGGGGGTGAATTTTTTTCTCACTCTTCTGTTTGAGTGTATTAAAAGCCTAAAATTCTGTATAATAAATGAGCATCAGACCCACGTGACCACAAAGCTAGCTCCATGGAAAGGCCTCAGTAGAGCCTCGGTCTGGCTTGGAAACTGCTCCGGGATTTTGAGTATCTGTGTGTGTGTGTGTATTCTTTTTTTGGATATTTTTTGTGCAATTGTTGGACAAAATGACTTGCTGTGGCATTAATTGCACTAATAGAGCATCCAAGGAGTCTCCACTTCATTTTTTTCGGTAAGTAAAATTATATTTATGTATTTTAGGTCACTGCCGAGCTGAGCTTAGATTTTAACATGTACTGTTTAAACATGAAATTAAAATGTAATAGGGTAAAAACCAGTGCATTTAACATAATGCTGCACTTTAGAAAATGGGTTGAAATATAACATGTTGGTGGAGCTGGGTTCCGACTATCGGCTTGTGGAGCTCTCGGGAGACCAATGTTTTCCACCCGTTCTCCCCTCCCCGCAGCTCGGCGCATCTCTGTCTGCTGCGCGGGCTGCCGGCTTGTGGAGCTCTGGGATGGAAACCTTTCCACCCGGTTCTCCCCAGCGGCAGCTCTGCGCATCTCAGATCGCAGCGGTGCTTGTCTGCTGCGCGGCTGCCGGCTTGTGGAGGTCTCGGAGACCTCTGTGTTCCACCTGGTTTTACCCAGCGGTCAGCCCGACATATCTCTAACTCAGAAGCTCTGGTGTTGAGCACAGTCAACTCCGGTTGTAGCTAGGTTGCTACCTCCGTTAGCTTAGCTCCCGACACCGCATTATCTTTGGGTTAGCTTCAGGTTAGCTTGTAGCTAATTTGACCAGGTGTCGTCAGTTGATCCCAGCCCCAAGCTCAGCTCCACCTCTCTTCCCTTTTATGGAATTGTCTGGGCTTGACGGAACCTGTGACACGGTCAAAATGGTGGTGGTGGCCACCTCCCATTTTAGCTCAAAAACGTATTGTTGGAGGCTATGGAAACCCATTGTCCATATATGTATGTCGATGGTCAAGACCCAACCAAGCTTCATCATCAAATTTACACGCTATTAGACGTTGGACCAAGGCAGCAGCACATGTTCCAGCAGAACATAAACCTGTCAATCATCTGCATATAAGTAAAATCTGATCTTGTGTTTGCAGAACAATAAACCCATAGAAGAGGGCCAAGAATAGATCCATGTGGTATTCCATGGTTCAGGGCAACACCTTCCTAAATCAGTTCTACTCTCAAAAAATACAACTTATACAACATTAATTAATAAACTCAGTTATTTAACCAGTTAAAGATGTAATGATCGTGTGTGAGGAAGTAAGTCTTTCATCTCTGGTGCTCAGACTCTGGCTCCAAAAACACATCATGGTGACTGTTGACACAAAATCGTGGCTTCAGTTTTCAACACAAGTAGCCAGATATCCATCTTTATACTAATCTATTATACACGTGTATATTCTGACAAATAAAAAAGCTGTATAAAAGCTCTTTTAATTTTATTTTCTGTCATGTTGGGTTTTAGCCGTCTGACCCAGGACATTCAGAATTAACTCAGAACACAGGGATTACAGTGAGCAAACAATTATTTATTATATCTAAGGTAAACTAAAAGAGCACCATCAAAACAGCGAGGTGAATATCTGGAAACTCTGTCCAGTCTCTTTAGTCCAATCCTTCTTAGCAGCGAGGTTCGGGACTCGGGGAAGGAGGCATGTCCGGTCGGTAGGTGGGGGTGGGGGTGGGGTGGGGTTGATACTCGGGAGATCCGGGAGGATGCAGAGGGTGGAGGAGAGCGGGTCGGTCAGGCTTGGTTGGGGAGCTGAGAGACAGACGTGAGTACAGAGTTATGGTAGGTTCTAGATGGAGGCTGGGATCTGCAAGGAGAGGGAGAAAGCACGTGAGGTTACTCAGAAGGAGGCTCGTTAGACAATCTGGTCGTACTCGAGAATACAGACTCGTGACACTCAGGTAATACTACCAAGGTTGAGTAATCATCCAGCGCTGAGGTGTGTCTCCCTGCTCCTAAGCAGCCATCCGCTTGATGGCAGACAGCTGGCTGCTCTCCGATTCCGTACATCTGTAATTACTCAGAAAGCGCTGTGTGTTCACTCACCTCCGACCGTAACATTTTCAGATTAACTGAAATAAATGTAACATAATAATATTTTTTTCTGAATAAACAAACGCTTGGTCAGCCACCCTTCACGTCAGACCCCTGACGCCAAAAGTGCCCTTTTTCGTTACTTATGTGCGAAAAGGGTTTTTCCCTTTTCTGACTGCAGATCCCAATGCAGCGTAAAACTGACGCGATGGGATGTCCGCAGCCAGGGCACCAAACAAGCTCATGTTACCTCACCCTAACCTTATCCTCTTGTTATTTAACCTTCCCCTCACCCCTATCCTAACCTTAACCATCTTGCTAGCGAACACGTTATTGATGTGTTGGTCGCTCTAAAAGCCGGCTCTATGAAGTGAACGGGGGGAGCCGCCTCGTCATTGGTCGGGTTTGGACCGAGGCAACACGAGGGGGAGGTTTCAACTACCACGGTGGAGGTTAAAAGTAGAGGGTATTTGTAACCTCCCCCTCGCCAGATGGTATGTTCTAACGTTCCCCTTGGGCGGCAAATACGAAAATTCACAGTCAGAATGCATGGGAAACAAACGCTTGATCACAGTGAGAGTAACGTTTTAGGTAGCAAGAGGGTTAAGGTTAGGATGAGGGAGAGGGGAAGGTTGTAAATAATGAAACGTTAAGGTTTAGGTGCGGTTAAACGAGCTGGTTCGGTGCCGCATCAGTGGACATCCCATCACGTCAGTTTTACGCTGCATTGGGATCTGCAGTTACAAAAGGGAAAACCCCTTTTCATACAGAAGTGACGAAAAAGGGCACTTTTGGCGTCAAGGGTCTGACGTGGAGGGTGGCTGACCAAGCATTTGTTTTTGACGTGCTGGGAGTGAGAATGTGTTGGAATAAAACACACTCACATTTAAATTGAACACATTTATTTGTCACTTGATTTTTTTTATTTTTTATCCAAGAACAAGTTACAAATAAATAGGTGGATGTGCCTTTGTAGAAAAGAAGGCTGTCCATAAATGGACTGTCGACGCTCCTCTACATTCATTCATGTTCTAATAAAACCAGTCACGAATCACAAGATGTTTCAAACCTACACAAAAGTCCAGAGGCGTGCCACTGCTGTGTCACAGAAAGGTGTGGAAAAGGTTAAAAGACACAGTCCAGTACCCTTTGGTATTCCCCCGGAAGAGCTGGCAAAATAGCTGGGGAGAGAGATGTCTGGGCATCTTGGCTTAGGCGTCTGCCCCGCGACCCGACTACGGATAAGCGGCTGAAAATGGATGGATGTTTCATAAGAAGCCTCAGTGAGCAATGCTGTTAAAAGATGTTTCTCATATCTTTTGTATTTTCTTGCTTCATTATTCCTAATAAACATTTAAATCAGACAAAGATAACCTGAGTTATTATTAAATTTAGTTTTTAAATGAGGATTTAGTTATCAAGGGTAGAAATCCAAACCAACCTTAACCTGGACCTCTTTGTTCAATCTTTAATTTAAGGTTCAGTTCCGCCAAACTCAGACATGATCATCACCAGACCAGTAAAATAAAGAAGTCACTTCAGTACTATACAACTAGATCTATACAACAGCCCACAAGCTGACCACAGTGCAGCACAAAACTAAAAACACTAAAAACAACAGCGATACACTACAATGCTAAAGACGTCAATATGATAAAAATCCTCAAAACATAAAAATACAACATAAAAGAAGAAAGGACCAGTAGAAAACACTCTCATGCTGAACTAAAAGTGACTGAAAACAGATGAAAAAAAGATTAAAGCCGTAATGTGAGAAAGCCATCTTAATCGGTGTTGGCAGACCATTCAAGAACTGCTACAGAGAACGCTCTGTCACCTCTGAGCTTCCGTTTCCATCTCAGCACCTCAAGGAGTTGATCTGCTGGCCTCAGGGACCAAGACTGAGCAACCAAGAGCTCAGAACGAGAACCTGGGGTGACAAGGCCAAGAAATGATTTAAAAGCCAATAAAAGCACTTCATACTGAACCCTTAAGCTAACAGGCAGCCAATGTAGCAAAGCTAAGATTGGAGTTATGTGATCCATCATTCTTGTACCTGATAGAAGCATGCAGCTGCATTCTGCACCATCTGGAGCCGAAAGAGGTGAGACTGAGGGACATCAAGGTACAGTGAGCTGCAATATTCAAGGCGTGACGTATTAAAAGCACAAAACACTGCCTAATAATTTTATTTTGAGAGCATATGCTTAACCAGAGCAAGCTTTTTCAACTATCAGTAGTAGTTTTCACAGCAGCGCTGATTTGACTGTCTAGTCACTGTTGAGCAGAACTCCCTGGTTAGTCACTAAGGCTCTCAAAAATGGAGCCAGTTGATCAAGGTCAGTTGAACACGACCCACTAGACACAATGGGACTAAAAACAGAACCTCAGTCTTATTTTACTACGTGAAAAAAGTTAGCTGACATCCAAATGCTAACCTCAGAGGCTCAGAGAGAAAGCACAATGCAGAAGTTACAAGCCTTGTCTTTTAAACCATCTACACAGATTAGAAACCTGGGGGTTACCTTTGACTCTTGAGTTTACTTTTATTCCACATCAAATACATCTAAAGAACATAGCCAGAGTCCGCTTTCTTCTCCCTCGAGCCAACACCGAGATTTTAATGCATGCATTTATTTCTAGTCGTTTAAACTATGGCAACACTCTGCTTTCTGGTCTTCCCAATAAGAACCTGTCTAGATTTCAACCGCTGCAAAACTCTGCAGCCCATGTGCTGACTAATGGGCTCGACACACGGGAGGCAACAAACCGCCGCGATAAGCGAAATTTGTTGCTGTCGCTTTTATTACCTGACACACGGTAGGCGACCCGCGGCAGCGGCAAAGCCGTCGACGCGTTCTGTTCCATGGCAAAATTGAAACTTCCATTGTTTTGTTTGGCTGTGTCAGGTTGGAGAGAATTAAGGTTATTTAGTGGTTCAGAGTTAATAAAGTGGTAGACATGATGTTTCACAAGGTGCTGCTAGTTATGTGAAATCTTACTTCTGATTTTACTATAAAACATAATAATAATCAACTTCTCCTCCATGTTTGCTCGGAGATGTACAGAGAATCCTGTCCGCTCATTGGTCAGTGAATGAAACCTCCGTTGATTGGTCCTCGTCCGAGCGACAGCGATGAAAAGTTGAAAATATTTCAATGGCCTCTCAGCCAAACAGGACACAAGCCAGTCCAGCCATGAACCCCAACAAAATGTAACCAATAAATCAGCATGCAGCAAATCAGCACCAGAATCGTAAAGTCTCCAGAGCTATTAGCCAAGAATTTTTTTTAAAAACCCGATAAATGATAAAGAACCCACACTTGTACAAATAGCGCCTTTCAGAGTCAGAGGACTCCCAAGCGCTGTACACAGTGCATCATTCATCCATTCACACACACATTCACACAAGGTGGTGATGAACTACAATGTAGCCACAGCTGCCCTGGAGCACACTGACAGGCGAGGCTGCCGAGCACAGGGGAGACCGGTCCTTGCGACCACCAACAGCAGGCAAGGTGGGTTAAGTGTCTTGCCCAAGTACACAACGGCAGCATTTTCTGTCCAGAGCCGGGATTGGACCTGCAACCTTCTGAGTAGTACTAACTCTGTGCTTTGAAACTTTTTAAACCTGACTGAAATTTCTCATAAATGTAATTCACACATTTACAGCTGGACATAGCAGAACAGGCTTTTTAAGTAATGGCTTTTGGGGGTGGGGTGGGGTGGGGTGGGTGGGTGGGAGGGGGGCACAACCGGCATGAGGACCAGGGGGGGTCTTTACAGTAAGTATACAAAAATATGTAATATGCAGTAGTTTTTCACTTGGACCTAATGCTCAATCAGTAAAAAGTGCAGGGGACAAAAATTGACTTTAGAAAAAGTGTGTGTGTGTGTGGGGGGGAGACATGTCCCCCCGTTCCCCCGAAACCTACGTCCATGAATTATGGCACAATGGCAGTAAGTGAGATGAAGTAAGTACAACACCTGGTTGGTTAAAGGTCATGTGGCCTTTAGTGACCAATTCAATTCAATTCAATTCAATTCAATTCAGTTCAAGTTTATTTATATAGCGTCAATTCACGACAAGAGTCGTCTCAAGGCACTTCACATAATAAACATTCCAATTCACAGTTCATTAAGCCAATCAGAAATAATGTTTCCTATATAAGGAACCCAGAAAATTGCATCAAGTCACTGACTAGTGTCAGAGACTTTACAGCAATCCTCATACTAAGCAAGCATAAAGCGACAGTGGAGAGGAAAACTCCCTTTTAACAGGAAGAAACCTCCAGAGAATCCTGGCTCAGTATAAGCAGCCATCCTCACGACTCCAAAACTACACAAAGATCAGTCTCATATTTACGAGACGCTGAGGTGAAAATCAAACCGGTTTGATATTTTTCACCTCACGGGGGTTGGAAACTCATTGTGTACGCCCGATGGTGTATTAACACTAATACACCATCAGGCCAATAGTCAGACATGGCAGTGGTAATGTGATGGTCTGGGGCAGCTCTACTGCTTTGGGACCTGGATTACCTGCGTTAACTGATGGAACCATGAATTCTGCTCTCTAGCTAGAGAATCTCTGACCTTTGACCTTAAACTGGCTGTTCATGCTGGAAAACTCTCCAGTGTGGCTGAATTCAGACATTTCTGTAATGAACAGTGGGAAAAACCTCCTCCGAGGTTATGACAAACACTGGATCAGGGGCAGTGCCAGGAGTGTTTCCCTGCAGATGCTTTACAGATGCCTGGTGTGTGTGTAAGGGCTTGCTGTTCTCCGTTGGTGCAAACGGAGTTGGGATTGTTTAGTCGTGGTGCTGCTCTTGCACTGGATCCAGTTGTTGCCTCTACGTGTGACAACCTGTTAGACGGCTGAGCGTTCAGGTACTTTTTCACATGGGTAAGGTTGGTTCGGTTATTTAAAAATGCTTTCTTATTTACTCAGGTTATCTTTGTTCATAAGACTGTTCAGACTTTTCTTTGCTGGTCTGATACATTTTAGTGTGACAAAAAAAAGCTAAGTCAGAAGAAATCTGTATAGAGACAAAGTTTTTCGTAGAAACATCTGACCAAATAGACCACACAAGAGCTTCACATTTTTACAATCCTGCTCTCATTAGCACCATAGTGCTTTTGGTATCAGAATGTTCTGATGTCCCACTAGTGGGGGGTTCATAATCTGACGGAGGGTGGGAGACAAAATAAACCAACGACAGGAACCAAAACAATCTAGTGGCCAGAAGAAACAAACAGATTAACCGTCTCCTGGACCCGCAGGAGAAACAAAAAATGAACTAAAGAAAAATAAGAAATATTTAGTTAAAACAAAGTGATGATTAAAAAAAACTGATTTCTGATTGGGTGTTTCATTGGTGTGCAAACAGTCAAATCAACCTGAATTATTACTCTGGTACTTCAAACAGGAGTTCAACAGATGACACCATATTCTGTTTCACAACTCCCATCTGGAGCAGTAGAGATCTCTATAAAGAGCTCACACACCTGGAGGAAGGAGTGGAAACGGCTCTCCTCCACTAACAGATTCAAATAAGAACAACTCTAATAACTCTGTTGAGAGGTGACTGTTCTCGTCCTGGTGGTCATTTTCCACCATACATTCTCTCAATGTCCTCTTTGTAATGTGTCCTCAGCTCCTTGCGTTTGAGCTTGAACGCATCTGTCACCAGTCCTGTCTCAGGCGTCCACGGTTCTGGACAGAGACAAATCTTGCAGGGTATCTCAAAGCGCTCCAGTTGGACTACAATGCAATAAGCACAAATGTTAATGAGTGCACTGATGACTCACTCTTGTTCTCTGACCTTCTCTCACCTGTCAGTGCAGCTTCAGTGATGACCTTAAGGACCAGCTCCTCCATGACTTTGCTGTTGCAAAGCTCGTCCCATGATCCTCGGACCCCATACTGGCCAGCCAGAGCCAGCAGCTGTTTCTGATTGGGTACCAAAAAGCCAATCACATAAGCCTCATCACTACAGAGCAGACAGAGGAGGAGGAGATGAGGAAGGGTGTCAAAGGGAAGGAAAAACAGAGCTGTTATGAAGGGAAAGCAGCTGAGCCAAATAAGGCCATGAAGCACAAGGATACACATGCATGTGCAACACAGTGAACTGACAATTATTCACCCAGTTGAAGATCTACCCTTCTAAGGAAATGGAAACAGCCAAAGCCTGAAGTGAGAGTGAACAGACTACAACTTTCAAATCTGATGAAAACAGTGATTCACTGCACCACAGAACTAAGTTTACACGTAAAGCTCACGCTGTGGAAAGAAGATAAACACGGTGCAGAACGAGACAAGCCACTGTTATCTGGTATAATCTAATCTCCATCCCATGACTTACCCTAAATGTCACCACAGGTGGCTTTCAGAAGCTAATCATTGGCTGTTCATCTACAGCTGATTAGCTTTTGGAGTCAATGTAATTCCTGAATAACACCAAACCCAACTGATATGTTCATACTTTTCAGTTGGCCAACATTTCTAAAAGAACTTGTTTTTGCATTGGTCTTAATTGATATTCTAATTTTCTAAAACACTGAATTTGGGATTTTCATTAGTTGTAAGTAATAAACTGACAACTGGTACTGGCATTATCCTGTTACACAATAACATCAATGCAATATTTAGTTTGTGTTCAATACGTGTGAAATACCGGGTGTACACTAGTATGTCTGTGTCCCTTATGCTGCATAGTTCTGGAAAAACAAGTTTCCTTTTTTTATTTGTTGTTTTTAGTGGTTGAAGTAACACACAAGGCAATAATAGCTTAAAGAGCAAATTGCAGTTTACATATTTTTTTCTAATTCAGATAAAATGTTGTCCAAGAAATATAAATTGAAATGCTTATTGGGGATATTTTGTTTTAAAATACATAACAGCAGAGTTTTTGGAGTAAAAGTGGCCTTTCTCAGCAAAGCTTCTGAAAAAGCTCTTCTTTCTAAATGTGAACCTCTGATGTAACCTCAGCTCAGTGTGGAGAGTGGCTAGTTTTAGGATAGAGAGGTCGTGTTATCCAGTCAGTGTGTGTTTACTAGTTTTGGATTGTGCTCATTTAGATAAACTATAGTTTGTGAAGGCTGTACCAACTCCAGCCTGTCTGGACATCGAGTCCACGGGTTTCCAGATAAGAGAAACAACGCCTCTATCTCTGTGCCTGAGGGCATTTTGTGCAGCTAAAAAAACGGACTTCTGTAGCCCACATCGGTCTGTACCGGGACAGTGAGGTCCGCGCTGGGCTCCAGAGACTAGTGGTGGGTTAAAAAAATTAAATACGGATTTCTGGAGCTTGGATCACCATCAGAACCAGGTCAGAACCGACAACCAGAAGAGACGCGCAGCTCAGCGGGCCAGTGGAGCTGGTTTCTGGGTCGGAACCAAATCAGAACCGCTGCAGTCCTCCAGAAAAGGATCATGTGCAGCTTTTAAAAATTCCAACCCGACTGGCTCGCTGGTGTCTGGGCCGGATCCAGCTCACAGAAGCCCGCATGAGTTCCAGAACCGTATGATAGGTGTCTCTCTCTCTAAGCACTGAACTATGTTAGGTGAAGGGATATTAACGAGTATGAGACAGCTGACAGATACTCATTAGTATTAATATTATATAAACTGACTGTCACAAACTCTTCCTCCTCCTGACCTCCTCTGCGGGCCGGGTTGGCGCAGCACTCCATTTCCCAGCATTCCCGTCACCGACGCTACTCGGTGACGTCACCACGCGGAATCTATTTAAGGAACTGTCACCGCTGCGCTGTCATTCAGTCATCGTCTCATGACAGAAGCCAAACCAACCCGATCCAAACAATTCCAAAATCAATCCAGGAAAGAGAACTTTCCACACTGTCTGCACTCCATCACAACAGCTCCCTACCTAAAGGAACCACAGTTCAGCCTCGACTCCATGCGAGTGCTGTATCGCCGTTCCTAAATGCAAGCTGCGTTCCTGTTAGAACCAAACGCCAGTCACTCCGCGTGTGGGTCACACAGCCACGCTACAATTACCTCCGCTACGCTTCAGCTCAGCCCATCCACCCTGACACTGACCGATACTATTTTAACTGTCTGGTACATGATAGTAATCTGTACAATATTGTAATGCTAGCACACGAGTTTAAGCTAGCCCCCCCCCCCCCCCCCCCCCCCCGCTTCTCCTCAACCTCTCTGCTTTGGCCGATGGTTTTGCCCTCTGGTTTGTCTCTGCTCTCTGGGGCGTACAGCAAACTCATTACTTTATGGTTTTGGTCCATCAGAAGCATAATTATAAACATTTAAGGTTTCTTCTCAGTCAGAGCTGCATTAGAATCCATATTTTTCTCTGGATTAAGCTAACAGGACTCCCTCAGCTCACGTCTCATGGTTTGGCAAAAGAAAAAAAAATTCACACAAAAATGACTAAAAGCCTAAATAATTTATATACGTGTAAAAAAAATAAATGTTTAAAAGAGTTTCTATTATGTTTCTCTAAACATCGGTTCATGGGAATCTCTAACCTCAGTTTGATCTTTAATGCCTTTGTGTGTTTACCTGTAATCTTGTTATTAGGCCCGAACAGCGAAGCTGTGAAGGCCTCTTGTTTTTGCTCTGTTTATTATTTGTTTATTTATTTATTTATTTTCTTCCGCGTCTTGAATGGCCTTTAAGGGGTCTTAACATATCCAAAAACTCACCAAATTCTGTCCCAATATAGAAAGTGCGTGAAATTTACGTGTTTCACTGGCAATGTGAAAGTTGGTTAAAAAAAAATGTTTCGACAGCGCCCCCTGGAAAATTAAAAATACCCCTCCGCTTTGACCTTTTTTTTATAGTAGCGTGATGAAACTTGGTACACTTGTAGAACTCAATAATACGCACAGAAAATCCTCTTGCACCCATGGTCAATATCAAACAGGAAGTCGGCCATTTTGGACTAAAGTAGCGATTTTGACCCCGTTTTGGCCATTTCTAGGGTCTATATTTGGTTGAACAGTTTGGTCATTTTTCACACAATTGTCTCGAAAATAGTGTGCGATCGAAAAGAAGCGATGGACGATTCAAATGAGAAAATAAAATTGGCTTTTCGTAAATACTGAAGGGGCGGGGCCAGGACTCAAAGTTCGAGCACTCGCCAAAAAAATTCAAATTGTTATAATTTCATAAATGAAAGAATTACAGTTTAAAAAATTCTATGGATAATCGTCATCGCCCCCCAACGACAAATGAATGGTCGACTGATTATGTCACACAAGCCCCGCCCCCTCAGGACTTAAAAGGTCAAGTTTTACTGGGAAATTTTCCAAAATTCGCCCTTTCCAATAATCACCACAAATTTGTAGCAGGTAACTGAAGACAAGTTGGGGTTGCTTGGCGTCACTTTCTGGGAGTTTTCTGCAGAAGGCGGGGCTGTGGCGGCGCAGCGAAGTCAGGCGTACCGCTGTGGCCTTACATTTGCCTCCCATTTTGTAATTTCTAAAGATATCGCCATGAAACTTCTTGTGAGTGATCCTAGTCTGGCCCCCAAAATATCTGATGTGAAAATCCGGCGGGCGTGGCCTATTTTCTGAAATAGCGCCCCCTAGGACCATTAAAACTGTCAGCCCCAAGCCATGCTTTGACTGAGGATTACGAAATTTGGTACACTAATGTGGTGTCTCAGGACCTACAAAAAAGTCTCTTGGAGCCAAGTGCAATGTCGCACAGGAAGTCGGCCATTTTGGTCCAAGTACTCGATTTAGTGGTTATCGCACACGCTGTTTGGATATTGATGCCCTGTCGCCCTTTTCACCGATCACCTTCAACCTTCTGCTATATACTCTTAAGACAAAGGGGAAAAATTTAACCGTCGGATTTTAAATAAGTATAAAGGTGTGGGTGTGGCTAAGACTCAAACTTTGACCTTTTGCCATTACATTACTTGACTTAATAACTCCCATGTGCATGATCAGATCCATATCAAACTTTGTCTGTGTGATCACTGACCACATCTCAAGACAATGACAATGTGGACAGCTGGCATCACCTAAGCCCCACCCCCTGACTACAGGAAGTCTATTGTTTTGTGGTGAAATGCCCATATTTGTCCCCTCTAATTTAGTCAACATGACACTAAGGTCATGCACTGTCTTCATGATGCTGTAATGACCATTCAGATCTGATAGCTTTCCAGATAGGGAGGGGCTTTGATGCCATGGCGAATTCTGGCTTGACACCGTGACCTTACGTTTGACTGTAACTTCCACAAACAGCCTCCGATCTGCCCGAGACTGAACAAGGCAATGAACAATCATGCCCTTTAGCCAACGAGCCACAAACGGTTGGTGAACGTTATATAATTTCACCAAAAGATTTCTTGTGAGTGATCTTAGTCTGACCCCCAATATAAATCGATGTCATAAGCTGGTGGGCGTGGCCTTTTGTCTAAAATAGCACCCCCTACGACCATTATAACTGTAGCCCCCAGTCATGCTTTGACTGAGGATTGTAAAATTTTGCACACCTATGTAGTGTGCCTGAGCCTACAAAGATGTCTCATGGAGCCATGCTCCATTTCCCCCAGGAAGTTGGCCATTTTGTTCCAATTACGTTTCGGATTCTCTTTCAAAGCTGGAATATTTTATTATGGTAAAACATTTTAGTGGGGACGGTTGGCTGGCTAGGAGGAAAGGCTGAGTCAGATTGAGGTGAAAGCTCACAGTGATCGCAGTTAAATGCACGTCGGGGTGTCTGGCGCGCATGGGCACTCGTGCACCACTGGTTGCAGGAAGATGGGTTTGGAGAGCGTCGGGGATGGAGCGGAGGGCGAGCAGCTTCGCTGCGAGGGCCGAACGACGCTGCTTGCAGCTTTAATTTATCTTCTTCCTTTTCAAGTATATGTTGTGCTGTACCGAGTGAATTGCCAACTGGAATAAATAAAGTTTATTCTACTCTATTCTATTCTATAACCATCAACAATAAAATAAACATTTGAAATATATTAGTCTGTGTGTAATGAATGAATCTAATATACAAGATTCCCTTTATGAATGGAATTACTGAAATAACTCTACTTTGCCACGATATTCTAATTTCATGGCCAGACCCTGTATGTGGTAAAGCAGAGAGCCATTCAAAACACTCAAGTGTGTGAGACCTGTTTGCATAGACACAAATGTTGTCAACCAGAGGGCAGTTCTTCAACGCAGCTTCCACCTTTCCCAGGGAGACATACTCCCCCGCCTGCAGCTTCACCAGGTCCTTCTTCCGATCTGGAATCACAGTGGAAACAGCCGTTTGAACAACATGCATGTGCACATCCACAGGAGGAAGCGTGTTGGGAGGGAGGACTAAACTGGGTGTATCTGATCTGTGCCATCCAGATAAAGAGTGATGCTGGGGAGGAAACGGCACTGAGGGTCATTTAAGAGAGATTAGTCAAATCTGATTTGGTTCGAAGTTTTCCTGCTGATCTGATGAATGGAAGTATAGCAGAGAGGTCATCTGGAGGAAAGCTGAGAGTGTGGAGCAGAATGTCTGTTTTATGCATCTGATTTCACAAATTCAGCTATTCGCACCAAACAGCGAGACCTGTACTGCCTCTTCTCAACATGTCACTCTTCTGAGGTTTTCTCACCAATAATCTTGAGGCAACCGTCTTCATGAAACTCTCCAATATCTCCGGTATAGAACCACCTCTGGCCGTTCTCATCTACAGAAAAGTCCTCCTGGCTTTTTGCCTCACTGTTGTAGTATCCCATGGTTACGTTGGGTCCACCTATGAGGATCTCCCCCCTGGGATGTGGCTTGTCAGTGCTTCGATAACCACCTAAAAACAGAGAGGACTGTCAGGGGGACATTAACAAGCTAGTGAACTGATTGTGATCAGGTTTACTTTGTCAAAGGGAGCAGGCAATAAACCACACCTGATAAGCACTGGGATTTAACAGATCGTAATAGAAATGAGTTATGACCCCTGATGTAAGAGCTAGGAAGTTGTGCATGTGGGGAAATAAAAATGTGTGTGTGTGTGTGTGTGTTTCAAATGTGTGTGCGTGGCTGTAGCACCTCTCCCTGTGTCACTTACCCTCCACCCAGTCTTTGAGCTTGATCTCACAGCAGACTAGAGGCCCTCCCACTCTCCCAGTGCTGTAATCCCAGTCTGGAACATACAACAGCCACACAAACATGACCAGGAAACCCACTAGCATCAAGGCCCTGCATTTATTGCCATAGCAACACGACCTCTCTCGCTCCCTCACCATGGAAACCTCCTCCCAAAGGAACTCTGACAGCGGAGTGTTTTCCTGACTCTAAAGACCACAACGGACGTGACTGGCAGGGATGGTCTCATCTGTCTGGGAAAGCCTGACTGCATTTCTGTAACTTGACTAGAGATGAGCTCCACGGCTCAAAGTCACTGATCCTCTGTTGTGTAAATGATGGAAAAGATGGTTTTCAAGGTTTGAGACGATGTAAAAAAAAACATCCGTATGTTTTAGTTTTTGAGAGGGAGGGTGTTCTAATTGTCATCACTTTGGGAGTTTCACAGCAGACTAAAGAAAGGAAAGGTGATCTAAAGTCATATCACTCACACACACACACACACACACACACACACACACACACACACACACACACACACACACACACACACACACACACACACACACAGAGCTCAATAACTTTGCTGTCTGAACTGCTGACCTGATGTTGAGTTACTGCACTTCAACTATTTTAAAAGCTTTGAGCTCTCAGCGCTGTGACACACTGATAAGAACACAACATCAAATGTTTGATGAATGTGTGTTTACTCATCAATGGAGCATTTCAGCACTTTACATTAGTCGTACTGATGTTACTGAGCTTGTTTTACTCATGCAGCCTCATAAGTGACTCAGTAAAACATCTGAAGAATTTAATTAATGAAACATCTACCAGAGACTGAAAGGGGGATTGGTGTACCTCATTTAGCTCTCACTGAAATGACCTTTTCATCTAAAAGCAGTAAAAACACTTGAAATGTTTGCAGCTTTGAGCTGGAATCATCTCAACACATCAGTGGCACAAGCAGAGTGTCTTAGTGTTGAATATTTAAACCTCAATAATAAACTAAAGAAGCTGAAACATTGTTGTCTCATCACAACCCAGAAACACATTCGCTCCTACATCCTTGTCAGCAGACCTGAGTAAGACTAAAAACGTGGTAAATAATTCGGACTCACGCTCACTGATCGTCCCTGCGCCGCACGTCTCCGTCAGGCCGTATCCCTGACCCACTGGGCAGCATAAACACACGTTCATGAAGCGCTGCGTGGCTGCAGAAAGAGGAGCTCCACCTGATAACAGGACCCGTGTCCGACCTCCCAAAAGAGAACGAACCTTCTTAAACACCAGCCTGGTTAAAACCAGCAGAAAAGACAAAAATAAACCTCTCGTTGATACTACGAGTTGCACAGACGCATAATGAGCAGCATAGCTGCATACCTGTCACACAGTGGGGTGCTGTTTCCTCTGGAAAGCTGATCCAGTTTGTAATTGTAAGCTAAAATAAAGAGCGTTCTCTGGAGGCTGTTCATCTCCTCCACTTTGATCATCACATTCTTGTAAATACGGTCCATGATCTCCTGCAGGCAGGAGAAATTCACGATTAGGCAATGAAAAAATAAAATAAAAACACTATTCAGACTTTATCTCCAGGCTGGGTGCCCCAGGATCCCACTGGTGGAGCTGGGGAGATTCTGGGCTTGCCTGCTGCCTTCACGACCCAGACCCAGATAAGTGGATGATGATGACACAAGACCAGCAGCAGCAGCAGGTAAGGTCACAGCTGATGCATTTTATCTTTGGTATTGTGGTAACACACACCTGTATGATTCAGACCAGAAAACTACAGAAACCCCGGCTTAGTAAATATTCAGATAAGCAACACAGCAGTCGTCAGGTCTAGACTTATTCTGAACTTTAAATAGAATAGAATAGACTTTATTAATCCCACAGTGGGGAAATTCACTTGTTACAGCAGCACATTAGGAGAATAATTTGAAGATAAATAATAACAAAGGTACATGTGGTATGCACATAAGCAGTAATTTAGTATTGTGACCTTCGACAAATAAAAACCACAAACAAGAATGGAAAAACTTGGGTTCCAAAACTATGCAGCATACTGTAAGAGACACAGACATGCAATGCAAATCCTGTATTACACGAGTATTGAGCACATACTGAATAGTGCATTGGTGTTGTCATGTAACAGGATGTTGTCGTCTCACCGGATCTGCAGCCACATGTCTTCAACACTCGGGTGAAGGGAGGGTGGAGCTGTCAACTGACCACTACCTGCTGGTGAGTTGGCTTCGATGAAGGAGGAGGATGCGGGCAGGCCCAAACGTATTGTGAGGGTCTGCTGGGAACGTCTGGCAGAGTCTTCTGTCAAAAGAAATTTCAATTCCCACCTCTAACAGACATTGAGTCCGAGCGGGTCATGTTCCGTGCTTCCATTGTCGAGGTGGCTGACCGGAGCTGTGGGCACAGCGTCGTCTGTGCCGGTCGTGTTGGCAATCCCCAAACCCACTGGTGCACACTGACAGTTAAGGATGCTGAAGAAAGAGTCCTATTGTGTCTTTTTGGACTGTGGGACTCCAGATGCAGCTGATGGGTACCGGCAGGCTGAGTGGAATGCGGTCCGGGTTGTCACAGAGGGTGGGAGGAGTTTGGTGAGACCATGAAGCAAGACTCCTTGTGCCTTCGAGGAGATTCTAGACCACCATCAGGTGGGGAAATCAGTGCACTACCAACACTGTTTATAGTGGGGATGGAGTGCTGCTGACCTCAACTCGGGATGTTGTAGATTGAAGGGCGGAGCACTTTAAAGACCTCAATCCCACCGGCATGTCTTCTAGTAAGGAAGCAGAGTCCGGAGACTGTGTTGTGCTCTCTAATCTCTGGTGCTGATGTCACCGAGGTGGTCAAAAAGTTCCTTGGTGGCAAGGCCCCCAGGCGAACAAAATCCGCCCAAAGTTCCTTAGGACTATGGATGTTGTGAGGCTGTGTTGGCTGACGCGGCTCTGCAATATCGCGTGGACATCGGGGGCAGTCCCACTGGACTGGCAGACCGAGATGGTAGTTCCCCTATTTAAAAAGGGGAACCACAGGTTGTGTTCCAACTACAGGGGGATCACACTCCTGAGCCTTCCTGGTAAGGTGTACTCAGGGGTTCTGGAGAGGAGGGTCCGTCGGATTGTTGAACTTCAGATTCAGGAGGAGCAATGTGGTTTTCCTCCTGGCCGTGGAACACTGGACCAGCTCTATACCCTTAGGGGGATCCTGGAGGCTGAATGGGAGTTCGACCAACCAATCTACATGTGTTTTGTGGATTTGGAGAAAGCACTCGACCACGTCCCTTGCGGGGCCCTTTGGGGGGTACTTTGGGAGTATGGGGTACCAGGCCCTTTGATACGAGTATTAGGTCGCTGTAGGACCGGTGTCAGAGCTTGGTCCGCATTACTGGCAGTAAGTCGAGCTCATTTCCGGTGAGAGTTGGACTCTGCCAAGGCTGTCCTTTGTCACCGATTCTGTTCATAACCTTTATGGACAGGATTTCAAGGCGCAGCCAAGATGTTGAGGGCATCCATTTTGGTGGCCTAAGGATTGAGTCTCTGCTTTTTGCAGATGATGTGGTCCTGTTGGCTTCATCAGAACTTGATCTTCAGCTTTCGCTGGAGTGGTTCGCAGCCGAGTGTGAAGCAGCTGGGATGAGAATCAGCTCCCCTAAATCTGAGACCATGGTCTTGATTCGGAAAAGGGTAGAATGCTTTCTGCCCCAAGTGGAGGAGTTTAAGTATCTTGGGGTCTTGTTCACGAGTGAGGGAAAGCTGAAGCGTGAGATTGATAGGTGGATTGGTGCTGCATCTGCAGTGATGCGGGCGTTATACCGGTCTGTCACTGTGAAGAAAGAGCTGAGCCAGAAGGCAAAGCTCTTGATTTACCGGTCGATCGATGTTCCTACCCTCACCTTATTGTCATGTGTTTTAGGTAGTGACTGAAATAATGAGATTGTGGATACAAGCGGCCAAACTGAGTTTTCTTCGCAGGGTGGGTGAGAAGCTCGGTCATCCAGGAGGAGCTCAGAGTAGAAGAGGCAGTTGAGGTGGCTCAGGCATCTAGTTAGGATCCCTCCTGGACACCTCCCTGGTGAGGTTTTCTGGGCACGTCCGAGAAGGTCTAAAGGAAGACCCAGGACACGCTGGAGAGACTATGTCTCACGGCTGGTCAAGGAACACCTTAGGATTCCCCGCGACCTGGAGAAGCGGCCGAAGATGGATGGATGGATAGATGGTGTAACAGGATAATGCCAGACAGCCTAAACTGAGGAGTAATACACTCTTATTGCAGAGGGGGTGAAAGATCTACGGTAGCTTTCTGTTTTACATCTAGGATGTCTTAGTCTGCCTCTGAAGGAGCTGTCCATGGTCCCCACAGTGGAATGCAGTGGGTGGGAGGCGTTTTTTAAGATAGTGGTCATCTTCCCCACCATCCTCCTATCACACGTCTCCTCAACTGAATCCAAAAGGCAGCTCAGAATCGAGCTAGCTTTGTTAACTAACTTGTTCAGTCTCTTCCTGTCTCGGTCACAGCTGCCTGCACCCCAACAGACCACAGCAAAATGCATAACAGAGCCAGCAACAGAGTGATAAAAGGGTTTTAGCAGATGGGAATGAACTCAAAAACGACCTCAGCCTCCCCAGGAGGTGGAGGCAGCTTTGGCCCTTTTTATACAGAGATCTGTGTTGTGGGACCAGTTCAGTTTGCTGTTGAGGTGAACACCCAGGTACCTCAATGTCAGCTCCCAGGATGTGAGGAGGAGTGCTTTTCTGGAAGTCAATCACCATTTCCTTTGTCTCACTGGTGTTCAAGCGAAGGTGGTTACGCTCACACCAGTCAACAAAGTCCATGATGACTGAAATGTAATGTACCTGTAAAGGTATAATATGTAAGAAAGGTACAATATGTAACAATTTTACAGTAAAATAACCACAAAACAGTCTAATGTCTCAATCACACTGAAAGGAAGGTTACAGTGAAACAGATTTAACTTTCAGCCGGCTGGGAGGTTGTTGGAATTTCTGTTTTACAAAATAAAACCAAAAGAGGGATGTAGAACTGTTTACAATCTGTGAGTTTCTGAGGTTGCTGTGTCTTTGGCAATAGCTAACATCAGCTGGAGCTCAGAGCCTCTCTGCAGCTCTGAACAATGATAATGAATTGTCAACAATGATGTTCTCTCCTCAAGGTCCAATCTCCCCTTGTCGTCCTACAGGATTCTTCATGCCTTTGAATAAGGAACACTCGCAGCCCAGATTAATTGCTAAATCAAAGAATGGTTTCTTAAATTAAATATGAACTTCTTGAACTTACAAGCTAGATAATCATCAAATAAACG